GTATTATTTATATATTAGATTATGTGCTACGCAGCCTGGGCTATTCGAAAAATCTGTTCCCCTCTCAAAGCACCAAAAGTCAAATAATCATATATAGTGGTAAACCATATAAATATAAGTATTTTAATCAAAGAAATTGATATTGATTTAGGTTTTAAATTTTAAATACACAGCATAGGCTACTTTAAAAAACTCCAAAAGACAGAAAATTTTATATTAATATATATAGAAGTATATTAATCAAATAACTATGCATATGTATAATAATAATCAGAGGAATTGATATTTAAGCTATTTATAGCTAGAGTCTTAATAGATACCGCAACGTAGCCTGTTGCAAGTGAGTTACATTTTAATAATGCATTGAGAGCTTGAGCGTATATCGATACGCCCATAGATTTATTTCTATGCAGAAATTGGCCAGCAGCTGGACGGCAGACCGTCCGCTGGCAATGGTCAAGTGAAGATGCCCTGGTCCCGGTGCGCCCAAAGCTCAGTCTTGTTGTTGTTGTTGTTGTTGTTGTTGCTGTAGCATTGTGCAAACAATTTGCTGCGTTTCATGTTACGACTTTGGCAGCATAACAACCAGTCGCCCAAGCCCGAGACCGAAACAGAAAGCAGATGATGGCCGCAACAAGCCGGCGCGATGACGTTTAGGTTGGCTCAAGAAAAGAGAGAGGGAGAGAGAGAAAGAAGTGCATCGAAGAAATGCCAAACTGCAATTGACTTGCATGACCATAAAAATTAAGTTATATACACCAAAGCAGGCTGCCGAGTCCAGTGCAGAGCAACAAAGTCCCAGTCCCAGTCCCAGCCAGCCATCCAGCTCTGTTTGCCTGCTCCCATCTTCTGCTCTCGCAGTGCCTTTGCCGCTGTTCCCGCTAAAGCGCAACAATAAAGTCGAGTGAAATTGGTGCTGTAATATATTTTAATAGCGCAGCGGCCGGAAAAACTCGCTACGAACTCGAAACTCGAACTCGAACTCAAAGTCGTAGACGGAGTTGCTTTGTTCAGTTGGTCAGCAGCAGCGGCAGCAGGGCGAGCCAGGGCCAGTTGCTAGCAAACAAAGCACAGTTGACCAGACCAAGAGGCCAGCAAATTTCGCTCGGTGCCTTATTATGTCTAATTAGATTGTGTTGCCAGCAGCCGTTGTTGTTGTTGTAGCTGTTGCTGGAATGTTTTATTGTTAGTTTTCGTTGGCATTTCCTAAAAAAAAAAATCGAGCGAAAATCGATGCTGAAAGCGGGGTTAATCTAAGGTGGCACAATGAGTTAATCCCAGCTTCAGATCTAATGCTACACTGATGCA